TCCATCTTCTTGGCCTCCCCGTGCACCAGCAGCACGCTCTCGGGCTCTGCCTGGCCCACCAGCTGCATGATGCCCTTGGCGTCCGCGTGGGCGCTGAAGGACATGTACTCCACCTGCATCCGGATCTCCAGCTGCAGCGGCACAGGGCACAGGCCGTCAGCAACCACCCAAGAGGGGCCCGGGGAGCTGGGGCAGGGTGGCACTCACCACCTGCCGCCCCTCCATCTCCAGTTTGCGCTGCCCACTGAGGATCTTGTGGCCCACGGTGCCCTGCACGCAGTAGCCGGGCATGATGACCTGCAGGCAGAAAGGCAGAGCTGCTAACCGCCTGCACAGCCTCCAGCTCCAGCTCAGGCCTGAGCACCACGGCCCCAGCTCAGGAGGGGATCCTGGTGCTAGACGGGCAAAGACAGTGACGTCTGAGCTGCCTGGTTGGACACTGGACCCAGGTGCTGCACCCCTCCTGACAGCAGCAGTGTTCCCAAGCCAGGGCCCTGCTCCCCACCTCCGCCCAACCCCGGCCCTCCAAGGAGCCATCCCAGACCCTCACCATGTTCTTCTCATTCCCGGCCCACTTCCGGAAGATCTGCAGGGACTGCCCAGCGTGCAGCATCCCTGGTGTGGCGAACACGACCTGGGGGTGACCATGGGGCAGTCAGGGCGGCCCACGCCACCCCTGACCGAGAACCAGGCTCTGAGCACACCTGGTCCTCGCCCACCATCAGGGCCTCCTGCTCCACCCACACTCCCTCCCGCCCCACACCCGTCTCCTCCAGCACCACGTGCCCCACTCCATGGGGGGCGGGGGGGGGGGTCCACCCCCCATGGGGGGCGGGGGGGGGGTCCTCACAGGCAGGGAACCCTGGCAGGCCCCAGACGAGGAGGAAGAACGCACTCCCACCCCTCCAGGCCAGGGCCTCACCATTGGGCCCGGGTTGTCGGCAAAAGCTCGGTCGAAGGCCTTGATGTGCTTGAACTCGAACATGTTCCGCTGGACGAAGGTCTTCCGGATCTTCTGGTTGGTCCAGGTGATGAAGAGCTTGTAGTAGTGGTTGGCCTTCTCCGTTAGGCCCGTGGAGAAGTAGATGGGGGCCTTCAGGTTCATGCGCTCCCTGTGGACAGTGGGGGCCGCCATGGAGGAGCCGCCAGGGCCAGACCAGTATGTCCTCCCCGCGCCCGTGGCCTGCCTCCTCCTATAGAGCGTCAGGGCTGACGTGTGTGGAGGCCTCAGTGCAGGACGATGGTCCCATGGGCTGTTCTGGGCCCCCAGGCTCAGGTTGGCCCCACAGCCCCACTCGACCGCCCACTCAGACCAGGGCTCCCAGAAGCTGCCCGCTGCACCCACCAGAAGGTCTCCAGCAAGATACAGAGCTCCTGAGCGCGGCCCAGCGCAAACACAGGGATCAGCACCTGCAGTGGGGCAAGGCTGGCGTGGGTGGGGGCCTGGCCACCTGCTCACCCAGGTGGCGCTCGTGTGAACACGGTGGCTGGGCAGCTGCTCCCTGTGGCCACCTTCCTGGGCAGCTGTTTGAGTCCAGCCTGCTGGCAGTGCCTATGCCGGAGGCCACGCCCACTGAGAGGTCATGGCCAGGCATCCCTGAAAGCCGGAGGCCCCCCTGCACCCTGCCTTCCCACTCCTGCCTCCAGCCACTCTATCCCCAAGGGACCTGGTGGACACTCTGGCCAGCCCGTGGTGGGACTGAGATGAGGGGAAACCAGTACCCCAGGGGGTCAAAGGGCGTTCCTCTTCCCAACAGGAGGGCCTCCTCCCAGCCCAGAACCAGCACCGTCCGCCCTCCCGCCTGCCGGCTGCCCCCGCTCAGCCGCTACCTTCCCGCCGCGCTCCACCGTCTCGTGGACCTTCTTCAGGAAGTCGCGCTCCCGGCAGCGCTTGGAGTCACGGATGGTCGTGGCGTAGGTGGACTCTGTGATGAGCAGGTTGGGACGGCATTTGTCAATCCAGGCGGCTCTGGAAGAGTGGGCGTGGCCTGAGGTGGACAGTCCACACGGCCTCCAGGTGGGGAGCATCATGCCGGACCCAGCCCGCTCGCACCAAGGCCTCCAGGACCCGATGGGCAGCCTCCTCTGCACAGGCCCAGCAGCAGGCAGGGCAGCCCTCGGGGAGACAGGAGACACTCTGCCTCACTCGGGGGACATGGGGGGGGCACTGGAGGAAACCACTGACTACTCACCCCAGGTGCCGGTCCGGGGTCATGTTGTAGTCGCCCTGCAGGGGAGCAGCTCTCAGGAGGGGCCTCCTCTCCCCACCCAGCAGCCCGCCTGTGCCCCGAGGGCGCCACTGACCGTGTAGACCACCGACTCCGAGCCCACTTTGATCTGGAACATGGCTGCCCCCAGCACGTGGCCGGCGTAGTAGGCCTTGATCTGCAGCTCCTCGTCCACCTGGGAGGGGAGGGCCGGGTCAGGGCTGTGGCTGTGTGTGTGTGGGGGGGGGGGGGCACCACAGAGGAGCTGGGAGGCAGCCGCACAAGCAGATGGCGCCATTGTGCGCCTGTCACCAGCTCCTGTCTCTCACTGAAGGGGCCAGTCCTCAACCAGAAGCAACTCAACCCAAGAGATGAGACAACGGGTCGAACAAGAGCTGCAGCAGCTGGGGCCCTGCCGTTCCCAGATGCAGGCTCCCCGGGGGAGGACTGTGACCAGCACATCCACCGAGAGCAGACAGGAGACATGATGGCAAAGCCCAGCCGCCTGGCTCAGGGGATGAGCATTGACCTATGAACCAGGAGGTCACGGTTTGATTCCTGGTCGGGGCACAGGCCCGGGTTGCAGGCTCGATCCCCAGTGTGGGGTGTGCAGGAGGCAGCTGATCAATGATTATCTCATCATTGATGTTTCTATCTCTCCCTCTCCCTTCCTCTCTGAGATCAATATAAAAAATGTTTTTTTTAATCAATCCAGCCCTGGCTGGTGTGGCTCAGTTGGTTGGAGCATCATCCCAGACACCAAAAGGTTGCAGGTTGGATCCCCAGTTAGGGTGCACATGGGAAGCAACCAATGATGTCTCTCACATCAATGTTTCTCTCTCTCTCCCCCTCCCTCCCTCCCTCCCTCCCTCCCTTCCTCCCTTCCTCCCTCCCTCTCTCTCCCTTCCTCTCTAAAAAAAAACAATAAAAACATGTCCTTGGGTGAAGATTAAAAAGGAAAAAGAAAAGAAAAACCCAAAAAAGGCAATGAAAGAAAGGGAAGAACAGAGCAGGAAGTTACAGGAAGCGAATGGTGACAGCACAGCCACACCCAGCTGCCTCCTGAAATGTGGGGTCTGAGCTCGTCTAGAGGACAGGGCATCAGACTGGGTCTTACGAACCCTGACCACACGCTACTTAAAAGAACCACATTGGAAATATGATGAAGGAAGAGGGAAAGCGAAATGACGGAAAGAGACGTTCTATGCAAACATTAACCAAAGGTGGGAGGTGGGGATGGTGTCAGCACATTTCCCAGGAAACAGACTCTAAGATGAAAAGCATTATTAAAGACAGAGGCCCGCTGCACGAATTCGTGCACCAGTGGGGTCCCTCGGCTGGCCTGCGGGATCGGGCTGAAACGGGATCTGCGACATCCGCCAAGGGGTCCTGGATTGTGAGGGGGCGCAGGCCAGGCTGAGGGACCCCAGTGGTGCACGATTGGGCTGGGGAGGGACCGTGGGAGGGCTCCAGGGCGTGTCCAGCCTGTCTCACCCAGTCCCGATTGGCTGGACCCCAGCAGCAAGCTAAAGTACCAGTCAGAGCATCTGCCCCCTGGTGGTCAGTGCACATCATAGCAAGCAGTTGAGCAGCCTTAGCATATCATTAGCATATTACGCTTTGATTGGTTGAACGGACGACCGGACACTTAGCATATTAGGCTTTTATTATATAGGTAAAGCATACACACTTGACATTGACAGAGGTTCAAACAGGATAAAATGACCCAAAATGTCTAGGCACCTAACACTAAGCAAAACCCAGACTCTAAGGAAACAGACAAACCCAACGTCTCTGACAAATGCTGCCACTGACACCCTCGCCTGCTGCCAGCCCTCCCTCTGTCTGACCGACGCGTGCACAGCAGTGACTGAGATGGAGCCCAAACCCCGCAGCCCAGCTCCGTCCAGTCCCTGCCTCCCCGGCCACCACACCAGAGCTCCGCCCTGCTCAGACGCAGGAGTGCCCACCAGGCGCCCTCTCACCTGCTGCCCCCTGGCGGCCCCCAGGCCTGACACACTGACCTGGACCGTCTGGTGGAGGCGCACGGCCACCACCTTCTTCATGCAGTCCTTGATCATCTGGGAGGTGAAGAAGTTGGCCTCGCCCTTCTTGTCCACGGCGATCTTGCGGTAGTCCTCCAGCAGGATGGGGCAGATGGCCTGGGTGGGGTGGGTCATGTAGATGGGCCCGTCGTAGCCCACCATCTCGCTGAAGTAGGGCAGCGCGCCGCAGTGGTCCAGGTGGAAGTGGCTGGGGGTGCAGCAGGGTCAGCGGCCACTGCACCCACCCCTCACAGCCCCTCCTCACCAGCTCCACTCGGATCACCCCGCCCGCCCATCCGTCCTTCATTCATTCACTCACTGAGGGGTCCCTGTGCGCCAGGCATGTCCTAAGTCAGTGACGGCGAACCTATGACACGCGTGTCAGAGGTGACACGTGAACTCATTTTTTTGGTTGATTTTTCTTTATTAAATGGCATTTAAATATATAAAATAAATAACAAAAATATAAGTCTTTGTTTTACTATGGTTGCAAATATCAAAAAATTTCTATATGTGACACAGCACCAGAGTGAAGTTAGGGTTTTTCAAATGCTGACACGCCGAGCTCACAAGTTCGCCATCACTGCCCTAAGTGCTGGGGATGGGGAACGAGCAAACAGAAACTGCTGTCTCCCTGGACCTCACGGTCTAAACATCTACTCAGCAATGAGCACACAAACAGTTAAGGTGTGTGTCCGACAGCAGCACGTCCTTGAAGAAACAGAGCAGCTAAAAGGACAGGGCAGCAGGAGCCACCCCCTCACCGGGCCGTGCACTGAGGCGGAAGGAGCGGGAGAGCCAGGATGAGGCCTGGAAAGGCCCCGGGGCAGAGGGAACAGCAGCGCCGTGCCGTCCACAGCTGAAGCAGATGCGGGGTGAGAGTCCTCAACTTGGAAGAGATGCGATCACAGGAGCCTCAAGCAGCTGAGGACGGGGCACAACACAGGGCACCTCTGGCTGCAGTTGGCCGGGGGGGACCAGCAGGAGGCTGGTGTGAAGGTCAGGGTTCTGAGGGGCTGGATCCCTGGAAGGTTTGTGACTGTCTGGGCGGAGCATGAGGGTTCAGCCAGGCGGTGGGACTGGAGGTCAGGGCAGGATGAACGAGGTCGTATGGAAAGGCCTTCGAGGATGGGGGCGAGGGGGGGGGGGGGGAGTCACTGCTGTAGATGGGCCGGTCGCAGCCCACCATCTGGAGACTGGATGTGGCCTCATCTTCCTGGGGCACCTGGGCTCTCACCCACAACACTTGGGGGGCATAGCACTGTGTCCCCCTCCCCCCGGAAAGCTGACGGCAGCCCACCAAGCAGCAGCCATAAACACCTATGAACACACACACACACACACACACACACACACACACACACGGACACACGGACACACGGACACCACCTCCAGGGCCAGCATCCAGAGGGAGGGCCAGGCCTGGGGTGAGCCACAAAGGAACCGGGACAGAGCCCGTCCAGCGACACCCCACAGCCTGCACCCTCCGCAGGCCAAGCAGGAAAGGCTCAAGCCAGCCCAGCCCTGTCCTCCAGCTACGTCCCCCAGCCCTCTCACCACAGCCCTGTCCCCCAGCCCTCTCACCACAGCCCTGTCCCTCAGCCCTATCCCCCAGCCCTGTCCCCCAGTCCTGTCCCCCAGCCCTATCCCTCAGCCCTGTCCCC